GGCTGTCCTCCACCCACGCCCCTGCCTGTCCGGGCTGTCCTCCACCCACGCCCACGGACAGGTCATTGGCGGAGGCAGCGCAGTCAGATTTGCACAGTGCAGCTGGCTGGAGGCTAGAAGAAAAGCACGAGACCTGAATCCCGGACCCAGGAAGGCTGGGTGGGTCCCAGAGAGTCTCCCCCCAGTGTCTTCACCACGTGGCCCCTTGTCTTCCCCCAGCGCTTCTTCCCAAGTGGGGCCACCCCCTCTGCCCAAGTTCACCCCAGCAGGCAGCAATCCTCCGTGTGCCGCACCACCTCCTCCCTGCATCCAGCACGCCCCAGCCCTTCCTCTGCGGCCTCCTCCTGGCTGAACAGCAGCTGAGGGCTTGTGTCTAGGGGCGGGAAGCCAGGCGATCCTGTGAGGAGAAGCAGCTGGCGGGAGGGGATGGGGCAAGTGAGGGGCAGTCTGGGAAATGGATGGACGGGGGTCAGGCAAGCAGAGGAGGGTCCGGTGAGAGTCCAGCTCAGTTTGTACCATGGATGACCCCCGGCAGGGAAGCCTAGCAGCCAATCCGGCAGCATTTGGCTGGTCGCCTCCTCCCCCAAGCCCTCCTGCTCTGCCACCGAGCAGCTCTGCTCACCCTGTGCTCCGCTTCCTTCCCCGCCAGCGATTGAAAACGAGGAGGAGAAGATCGGCCAGTACCGCCAGCTCCTGAGCAGCCTCCCCGTGGTGAACAGAGCCACAGTCAAAGCACTGATCAACCACCTGTACCGGTAAGGGGGGCACGGCACGGCCGAGCCCAGCTGCGCGGCTCCACTCTGGGCCTGGCCGAGGCCAGTGCTCTCCGGTGGGTGCCGGAGCTGTGTGCCTCGTCCTGCCAGCTGGGCACGCAAGGCCTAGGGTCCACCCAGCTGGAGAGTCACTCACTAGGGCTCCCTGCTAAGGAAAGAGGCGCTGGGTTTACCTGCTGGTTTGGGATGCAGCGAGATACGGGTCGTTCTCTCTCTAACGGGCTGTGGAGGGGAAGGGTCTAAAGCCAGGGATTCAGGAGACCTGAGCTTAACCCCCTGCTCTGCCACCAACTTCCTGTGTGACCCCAAGCATGTTAGTAGTGAACTTCCGCATAGGGGGGTTGGGAGACCCTCATCTAAAGGAGGCTCCAGATATGCACAGTGTTGTTAGGATGAAGGCCAGACTCAGGATCAGCAGAGCAGTGTTTGTCTTTCCCAGAGCTCCGGGGACAGGTTCTTCTGCCCCCCCTTCAAAGAGCCTGCACCTTTTATGGCTAATGGGTCCCACCTGCCGGGTCTGTGTAGCCGTTTATTTTATTGAATGTTAATTATACTACAGTGGGTTCAGCTCTGGCCGCTACAGTCTCACGTTCAACAGTTCTCTCTCTTTGTTCTGGCTCTAGAGCCCATAGGAACACTTGAAACCATAGGCAAGTAACAGACAATCACAAGGACATCTCTTTTAGCCGTTTATTATTAAAGTTACCAACAGAGTTCTAAATGTCACAGCGTTTACACTTCCTAAAGATAAGTAACGACAGACATGCTCACATCCTCCTAGATGGGATTAGAGTCTGTTGGCCCCTGAGGGACTGATCATCAATACGGGCATGGTTCCTGCTGGAGGTTTCCCATGGGAAGCTCAATTTTTCAGCTCTGGGCACCCTCTTTTATCCTGTGATTCTGTCTATACCTACACTCTGCGCGTGTACGTGGAAGTGTCAACCCTCTCTTTCTATCTGGTCTGTGTCCCCTAGAAACACAAGAGACCCCATAGGCTGGGCGGATTCTCATTAACATTGACGTACCACCTTTATTTTGTGGTGAAGACACATGTTGGAGACAATATTTGCTGTAACAGCATTTTATCATTTAAATTTAATCTTCCTGCTAAACTTTCACAATATTACCAGCTGGTACCTCTTTTCCCATCATCTTTCGGGTGATTTCTCGGTCACTGACTCATGTCAGCATTTCTTGTCTCCAAGGCCTAAAATAGTTGAGCTAAAATCTTGCAGGTCTCAGCCTACAGGTTTTTGCGTTTCAGCTTGTCTGACTTATGTCTAGTACATGGTTCCTCTAAATACTGATCAATCTTGTACTTCTGTAATCCTACAAATGAACTCTAATTAACATACAATGAATATGTATGCTATAAGATGTTGATTATTCATAACATCACACAATACATGGATAATAAACTAAAATCATTGGCTACATCTGGCTGGATCTGTCAGGAAGCACAGCCCATTCCCTTAGACCAGCTGGAGAGAGAGGAATCCCTTTCCCGCTCCTTGGTAGTTCTGTTCCCAGGTGCCCACCAGCTCTGCCAGGAGCCAGAGCAGAATTCAAACCCCATCCCCTGTGAGCAGCAGCTGGATCCTTTGACCCACCAGCGTCCCTGAGCCATTCACCAACGGCTGGGGGTTTGCCCTAGGTCAGAGGCGGAGCAGGGTACGTCTGGCCGAGAGGGTCCCCACCACTAGAGAGCCGAGCCTGGGCCCAGACCTTATAAGGTGTTTAGGTGCCTAGCTCCCACGGAGATCAGTACCTTGTAGGATCTGGGCCTAGAGCACTACACACAGCAACCCATGGAGGGTCCCCCCAGAAACGGAAACCCCGGCTGTCATGGCGAGACCTGAGAGGGCCATTGGGGCAGGGCGGGGAGGCAGCTGGAGCTCCGGGAGGAGCTGTCCTTAATGTGCTGGCTTTCCTCAGGGTCCAGTACTTCTCCGAGATGAACCAGATGAACACACACAACCTGGCGATCGTCTTCGGGCCGACGCTCTTCCAGACGGACGGGAAGGACTACAAGGCGGGGCGCGTGGTGGAGGATCTCATCAGCCGCTACGTGGTCATATTTAGCGTACGTAGCGTTCAGAAGCCCCACTCCCCAAAGCTTCTCCCTCAGCGGACTGAAGGCTTCCGGGCCTAGAGCCCGTACACTCGGCTCCCGGGCACCTATAGAGATTGCCTTTTTCGCCCAGCCAGAATGAACGTTTGCATTGTTGTCCGTTGTAACCTGGCCTCTATCTATTCAAGCTCTTCTGTGGAGCAGTGTGGTCTGGTGGCCAGAACACTAGACAGCAAATCAGGAGACCTGGCTTCTCCTGCCAGCTCTGCTACCTTGGGCAAGCTACTTCCCCTCCCCGTGCCTCAGTTTCCCCATCTTACCGATGAGACTAACCTCCTTTGTGAAGTGCTTTGAGATCCACGGATGTTAAGAGCTCGGCATGATTACTGTTACCATGGCCCTTCGCGCCCATTGTTCTACCCTGGGAGCTTCCTCCACGAGGAAGTTTTTTCCTTTGTCGTCTTTCTGATCTCCAGCTTCTCTTTCCACCCGCCGCTCAGCACCTGGCTCCGGGCATACGGTTCTCAGCAATGCACTAGCCACCAGATCCTATAAAGCACCCTCTGCAGATAAAGCCCGGCCATTGGGAGAAGGGCGACTGGCTGGATTTGGGGGATCCATGAGGGGAAGGTGGCTGTGTCTGAGCCATGCTGGAGAAGTCCAGTTTGCTTGGAGGCAAGTGGAGGGTGGGATTGCGTCTCACAGATCAAGGAGAGACCCTGACGACACAGAGGGTCCGGCTGTACTGCCGTCAGGGGGTGTGAATGCAGTACGTACGGACGTACCTGAGCTACCATGAATAACAATAGCAGTGAAGCCGTGACGGCATGGGCTAGGCACTCGACATCGGAGCGGGTGGGGAGAAGCACGGGAAGCCCTGTTGAGTGCCTTTCCTTGGCCAGTGGAGCTGGGCAGGTGGGTGACTCCAGACCAGCACAGCTCAGTGACGGGCAGGAGGCCAGGGACTGATGGGGGAGGCTCATGTCCTCCCAGAGCTGGGCCCCACGTGAAGCTGTCCATCTGGCCTTTCTGCTGCCGGGCTGCGGAGGGTTCGATCACTCTGGCCTTCTCTCCTCTCGGCAGGTGGACGAACAAGAGATGAGGAAACAGCAGGACGAGATCACAGCCATCATCAAGATGCGGATAGCCGGCTCGTCCAGTGGAACCCAGGTAGCCGGCCCGTCCGCCCGCTGGTGGAGGAGGGGCAGGTCTCACCTGCACACGCTCGCTCGGTTCTCTTCGGGGATCCACTGGGAAACTAAGATCTCAGGAACTCCGAAGGGGCCAGGCAGACACAGTTAGTCTCCTCCAGCAGCTAACCTGGGAGGGTCGCTCTCCGCTTTAGCGGTCTGGCTGTAGAGGCTGCTTCCAGTTCTGACACACATGGTTTCACGGCGCTGTGTGTGCTGGGGCTGCCCATTCGCCCTCCCAAGAGCAAATCCCCCTTTTCTATCGCTCCCAGAATCCTAGGCGGTAGAAGAGGGCAGCTTGTTAGGTCCCAGCTAGCTCACGCCACTTCCTGTTACCCTTTGGAAGCTGAAATAGAAAACGTTTTCAGCTATTTCCCCCTCCCATTCAGCAGCCTCTGGGTCTGTCCTCACATCCCCGGTTAGACCACCGCTGTACCACCACAAAGCCAGCGAGAAATGCTCCATGTTCCGGCTGATGGCTTCTCGCGGCTCCAGTCACTGCTGCTGCTGACCAGCAGGGGGCGCTCGTCTATTCTAGTGGGACCACGACAAAACTCATTGTTGTGCTCAATTGCTTGAGAATAGGGGGTGGAAACAGGGTCAGCTGTGTGCTGAGCAGTGGCCTGATTAAATCACATGACCCACCGATCACATGACCTTCCTTTTGCCCACCTGTGGAGTTGTGTGTGTCACAGGTAGGGCTTGGGACCCTTCTCCTCTTAAAGGGCCAGCCACCCTGTGATGGGGGGTTATTCAGCGAATAATGTAGGGCATTGAGGGGGATCTCTGCACCCAGATTAACTCTGGGGTGTTGCAGGCCAGGCCGGGAGGGGATTCACACTCACCAGTGTCGGTGCCCCTCTGTAAACGGGAACCTGCTGGTAAAAGCCCCTTTCTTGTTTCCTTCCAGCAAGCCGGGGACTTCATCTGCACAGTGTATCTGGAGGAGAAGAAGACGGAAGCGGAGCAGCACGTGAAGGTGAGGCGAGGGCAGGGGCGGTGGGAAGGGAAAGAGGCCGTCGCTGGGCGTGCCTCGGACAGGCCTTTGCAGAGTCTCCGCCGGAAGCCGTGTCATGCGCTGTGCGCCCCGAGGAAGGGGAAGCTGGAGGGATAGGCCGGGCAGTGGCACGCGATGCTCCCTTCACTCTGATCCAAAGGGCTGGGGCGTCACAGTGCCGCTTGGGGGACAGTCAGGGTGGCGCTGGTGCTCCAGACAGCCGGCGTGAAATGGGGCAACCGATTGCATCCTGACTGCCCTCTGAGCCCCAGCGCTGGGCTTGCCCTGGCAGGCGGGTGCGGGGGCTTCCACCTCCACCCCAGGACGCATGTGACTCTGAGCACAGGGGATCAGGGGATCCTGCTAGGGAAGCTGTGCACATGCCAGTGTGGGGCAGTGCGGAGTGGATTTTCAATCTGGTCCCTTCAACAGCAGAGCTAGAGCCTTCCTCTGACTGCCCTGACAGAAGGCGCAGCCCTGGCAAACCGCTTCTGACGGCTGCCCACTAGCCACAGAATGAACGCAAAGGTCCGTGGCTCCTGGTCAGAAGGGCTGGTACCCCACTGGATGCTCGGGCTTGCACTGAGGGGTGGGGGGATCTGGAGACATGACCTGCCATGACGCAGACACGAGAGAGGCTTCTTTCTTCCTCGCCTCAGATCCCAGCCACCATGACGGCAGAAGAGCTGACCTTCGAGATCTTGGAGCGGAGGAAAATCGATACGAAGGAGAAGGAGTACTGGAGCTGCTTCGAAGTGAATGAGAGGGAGGAAGCAGGTCGGTGTCTGGGCGGGAGAGAGGGTTACTCCGAGAATGGTAACCTGCCAGGTGTAGAGCGGGTGGGGCACTGGGTCTGAGAGCTGGATGGACAACCTGTGACAGCTCTGGCGAGCAGACTAGAGCAGGGCATCGGGAGAGTCTTGGCTCTGACATTGTGACCTCGCAAGTCACTTAGATCGAACATAAAGCACTTAGTTAGGAAGGAAAAATCAAACACACATCTACCAAGTGGGGAATAACTGGCCAGGCGGTCGTACTGCTGACAAGGATCTGGGGGTCAGAGTAGATCACAAATGGAACGTGAGTCAATAATGTGATTCAGTGGTGAAAAAGGCTAATATCATTCCAGGGTGTATTAACAGGAGTGTCGTATGTAAGACATGGGAGGTAAATGTCCTGCTCTACTCAGCGCTGGTGAGGCCTCAGCGGGAGAACTGTGTCCAGTTCTGGGTGACACACTTTAGGAAGGATGTGGACAAATTGGAAAGAGCCCAGACGAGAGCAACAAAAATGATCAAACCTGAGCTGAGGAAAGGTTAATGAACTGGGCATGTTTAGCCTTGAGAAAAGAAGACTGAGGGGGGACCTGATAAGTCAGGGGCAGGCAAACTTTTTGGCCTGAGGGCCACGTTGGGTTTCCAAAATTGTATGGCGGGCCGGTTAGAGGAGGCTGTGCCTCCCCAAACAGCCAGGTGTGGCCCGGCCCCCACTCCCTATCTGACCCCCCCCGCTTCTCGCCCCCGACAGCCTCCCCCAGGACTCCTGCCCCATCCAACCTAGAGGATGGCGTGGACTGCACTCTCAGCAAGTTTGCAGATGACACTAAACTGGGAGGAGTGGTAGATACGCTGGAGGGTAAAGATAGGATACAGAGGGTCCTAGACAAATTAGAGGATTGGGCCAAAAGAAACCTGATGAGGTTCAACAAGGACAAGTGCAGAGTCCTGCACTTAGAACGGAAGAATCCCATGTACTGCTACAGACTAGGGACCGAATGGCTAGGAAGCAGTTCTGCAGAAAAGGACCTAGGGGTTACAGTGGATGAAAAGCTGGATATGAGTTAGCAGTGTGCCCTTGTTGCCAAGAAGGCTAATGGCATTTTGGGCTGTATAAGTAGGGGCATTGCCAGCAGATCGAGGGACGTGATCGTTCCCCTCTATTTGACATTGGTGAGGCCTCATCTGGAGTACTGTGTCCAGTTTTGGGCCCCACACTACAAGAAGGATGTGGAAAAATTGGAAAGAGTCCAGCGGAGGGCAACAAAAATGATTAGGGGGCTGGAGCACATGACTTATGAGGAGAGACTGAGGGAACTGGGATTGTTTAGTCTGCAGAAGAGAAGAATGAGGGGGGATTTGATAGCTGCTTTCAACTACCTGAAAGGGGGTTCCAAAGAGGATGGATCTAGACTGTTCTCAGTGATAGCACATGACAGAACAAGGAGTAATGGTCTCAAGGTGCAGTGGGGGAGGTTTAGGTTGGATATTAGGAAAAACTTCTTCACTAGGAGAGTGGTGAAGCACTGGAATGGGTTACCTAGGGAGGTGGTGGAATCTCCTTCCTTAGAAGTTTTTAAGGCCCGGCTTAACAAAGCCCTGGCTGGTATGATTTAGTTGGGCATTGGTGCTGCTTTGAGCAGGGGGTTGGACTAGATGACCTCCTGAGGTCCCTTCCAACCCTGATATTCTATATTCTAACTCCCCCTGTTCCCCGTCGACCCCCCCCGGGACCCCTGCCCCATCCACCCCTCCTTGTCCCCTGCCCGCCCCTGGAACCCCCGCCCTTGACTGCCCCCTGCTGCCCCATCCAAGACCCCCTCTCCTTCCTGACTGCTCCCCCGGGACCCTTGCCCCCATTCAACCCCTCTGTTCCCCGCTCTCTGACTGCCCCGACCCCTATCCACACCCCCGCCCCCTGACCACCACCCTGAACTCCCCTGCCCTCTATCCAACCCCCCCTGCTCCCTGCCCCCTTACCGCGCTGCCTGGAGCACCGGTGGCTGGCGGCGCTACAGCTGCGCCGCCCAGAGCGCCAGGACAGGCAGCCGCACCGCCCGGCTGGAGCCAGCCACGCCACCGTGCAGCACAGAGACCGGGTCAGGCCAGGCTCTGCTGCTGTACTGCCCCAGGAGCTCACAGCCCCATCGTCCAGAGCATTGCGCCGGTGGCGGGGCGAGCTGAGGTGCTGCAAACCAGGTGCTGGGGGCCAGATCTTTAAAGGTGTTTAGGCACCTACAGATGCAGATAGGCATCAAGCACTTTAGAAACCCCCACTAGGTGCCTCTCGGCATTTTGAAGCTCCTCAATACCTTTGACTATCTGGCCCTGGGTGTCCAGCTGGGCTCCCCAGCTTTGTGGCACCCAAAATCAATAGCCACTTTGAAGTTAGGCCTTTCCCTCGCTGTGCCCTCGGTTTCCTTTAAACAGGGAGGGTTAGAGCTACTCACCTTTGGAAAGTGCTTTGAGATCCTTGGATGAAAGGCCCCACGTTAATACTAAGTAGCAGCAGAGGGCCGAATCCTGCAAAGAGCTGAGCACCCAGCAAGTCAGCGGAAGCAGTGGGTGCTCTGCAGCTACTCAGGACCTCTCCGGATTTTGCCCGGCCATGCTGTGAAAATCCCAGCGGCAGTAAAGGCCTTACACGAGCAGTGTTTCCCGACCTCCAGACGGCTGAGCCGCCTTCAGGAAGGGGAAACCGCCTGCACCCATTCGGCTGGGCCATGTGTCATTCAAGGCCCATCCGTCTGCAGTAACACCTCCCCTTTGCCTCCCCGCGGGGCGTGGGGTGAGCTCACCTCACGCTGTGGCCGGTGCTGACATACGCTGTTGTTTCTCCTTTAAAGGCTCAGTCTTGCTTCCACTGAAGTCACTGGCAATACGATCAGTGAGGTCAGCGGGGGCAGGATCGGGGCCATGATGGGGAAGTAGCTTGTACAGATTTGAAGGCCAGAAGGGATCATTATGATCATCTAGCCCTCTTTGGGCACATCTTCACTTGAGTCAACTCGGGTTCTACCTCGGGGTTTGACCCTGACCACCTCCTGTCTACACACACAGCCATCTCACCTGAGCTTAGTCGTGCTTTCAGCCCGAGCTAGCGGGTGCACCCTGGGGTACAGGTTAAAACCCAGGTGAGTCTTTCACTTGGCCTAGTAACCTACCCATTTTACAGAGGACACAGGCTAAATCACTGCAGTGCTGATAGTCCTCCAACACCTTCCCACGATTCCCCCCTGTGCCCAGGACAGACAAGTCCTCCCACAATTCCCTGGGAGAGAACCATCGTGTGGCTCAGCGTCTGCAGCACGAAGAACCCGGGATCACTCCCCCGGGTGACACACAAGGGAAGACAGAGTAACGTGGGTGAGGCTTTGCAGGGGGGCGTCTCACCCCCAGGCAAGGCTGACCCAGGTGCCAATCCCAAGTGAGCTCTGCAGCAAAGACAGCCCTTTTGGCACCCAGCTCTGATCCGTGGCCTTTCATCCGTTGATCTCCAAGCTCCTGACAAAAACAGGAGTATCATTAACCCTGTTCCCCTCTGGTGGCAACAGCACCCAGAAGCTGCCCTGGCTGTGGTCTGCAAGTACCTCTTTTTCTCCTCATCCGCCTTCCCCGTCCCCTCTCCAAGCGGCCGCACAGTGCCAAGGAGGTCTGTCAGAAAGCTGGGCTCTCCACAGCGGAGTGGGACAGGAGAACTCGTTAGGAAGGTGACTGTCCCGTTCAAAAGCTGTTTGTTAGTTGATTGGACTAGTTAATTCACCGCCTGGCCAGTGCGTGTATGGGAGACCCGTAACAAACATTTCGGCGCTGCATGACATGGCACGGATGTTTTCCCTCTCAATCTGTATTGAAGCAGTTACCCAGCGTTGTGCTAGGGGGCGCTATGCTGATGAGTCAGAAAGCTGAGGGACTGAGCTCTGTGGTCATTAAAAGCCCCCAGGCGCTCTTTGCCAGAGAAGATGCATGAGGCCTTGGTGTCCAGCCTGAATCCTCGCATTCTGCTTCCCTAACTCCACCCTGCAGCCTCAGCTGGAAAGGATCTCATTCACTGCCTCTCCGAAGCAGTTGGGTAGTGTTGCTGTAGGCTGTTGACCAGCCGCCCACATTCCACCCCAGAGGTGGCTGCATTCTGGTGGTGGGGGAAGAGATGCTTGGGTATAGTTGGTAAAGCACTTGAAGAGGCTCTATACATGTAAAATGATGATCCTCCCCCAAGGGGCGTTCAGTTGGCTCGCAAAGAGTTGAGTTAAAACATGCAGCTTTGGTCACCGTCAGCATGGTCGCGGCGGGGAGGGGGTAAGCCAGATGGGGGCATTAATACACCTGTTCCTCCTTCCCCGTGCAGAGCGGCCCTTGCACTACTCTGAGAAAGTCCTGCCTATCTTGCACGGCCTGGGGACGGACAGCTACCTGGTGGTGAAGAAGCAGCTGTCCATGGAGAACATGCTTATCTATCTAGGTAGGTGGTTGCAGGGGTTTGTTGGAGACGTACCTCAGTGTAGACGGGATCCAGGCCGCTCAGGGTTCTCGCACTTCCTAGTCTTCATTGTCCAAAAGAGAGAGCGAGCTGGCTGGTCCGATCCGCGCAGCACAGAGACACGTGCCCTGTAGAATCCTGCACCCAGATGATCCTGGGTCAGTCTAGGGTTCTGCGCTCTTCCTTTGTCAGTACTGGGTTGTGCTAGGGGGCACTAGGCAGCAAACCCACGTCTGGGGAGCGGGAGGGAGGGGAAAAGGAAAGACCTAGGAGCGTGCCCACGCCAGCCGGCGCCAACCAATGGCACGGAGGAGCTTTTCAACCTGACAGATGGGCTCAATCCAGACCCAATCGGAGCTGATCCTGCGAACAGAGGGCAAAGAGACATGACATCAGCGTCTTTCCCGAGCGCCTGCCCTTCTTCTCACTCACCCTGCAACTCGGACGGGAAGCCTGTTTATTATCAAGCCCTGCCCTGGTCAGTTTCTGCACAGATCAATTGCCATGTCTCTGCCCAGCTGGGGCAGTGGGGCTCTCTCCTGCAGCCCTGCCCCCTGGACCACGGGATGGCAAATGTGGCCTGACCCTGCAGCTTCCATTGGTGGTTCCTCAATGAAAGAGGAAACTCCTTTGCAGAGAGAGCCTGGGACGCAAGGGAGCAGGGTTAGAAACCCTCAAAGGGAGCCTGCAGCGCCCCACAGAGAGAGAGAGAGTTGTTAGGGGGTTTATTCCTTCACCCCCTCACGTTCCTGGTCCTTCTCGCAGGAACAGAGAGCAGCAATACCCGAAGTCCGAAGGTGCAAACAATTTGATGTTTATTGGGGTGAACTTCCAGCAAGCATGATTCCAGTTTCCTTCCAGTGTCCCCCTTCCCAGCTCTGACACCACAGAGCCTTGTCTGTGTCCCTGTTCCCATTTCCCCCCCCTTAGCAAAACATGATTCCAATTCCCCCACCCCCAGTCCCTGTTCCCATTCCCCCCTTACTTCCTGATTGACTGCAGACTATATAGTAAAACTTGAGTTCTGCTTAGCTGTACCTTAACCAATCATTTTACTGAAATTTAACTAACCAATCCTGACACATTGTAACATGGTTATTTAACCAATTATATCCCACCACCTTAATTGGTTTACACCCAGCAAAATTAATTATACAGCAGACAGAAACAATCACAGAACCAGACAGAGATTATACAGACAAACAATAGGGAAGTGGAGCCTACAGTGATAGAACAATACAGAAATGAGGATTTCACATCCCAGCTATTGATAAGTGAGTTCTTGCCAGACAGGATGCCATCAAACTAAGTTTCCTTTTACATCTTCTAGGCTCTTCCCTTTCTCTGGAGGTGACAGGAATATCAGGATAGGATTGTATTCCTAACAGCCCAATAGCACCTTATTTCAATGTGACTAGTTTGGGATGTGGGGATGTGACCGTTCACTTCCCAGTTTATGGCTGCCTCTGCTGCTTAGCCGAAGGCCTTAGCTTAAGAACAGGGCTCAGACTGTCACAGTGAGAGAAGGCCCAGACACAGACAGACTGTGATTTTGATTCTTTCTTTTATACCTCTATAACTAGCTACGTGATAAGAATACACCTAAATTCTTAAAGTATAGGCCTTTGCAGACAGGCCTGAATATCTATATCCTAACACGAGTGTGTGTGTGTCTGTGTGTCCGCGCCTTTCCTTGAGGCCACCGCTCCCAGTGGAAACCCTCCTTTGCCAAGTATGGGACCAGTAGGGCAGGTTCTGGGATCTCTCGTCTCACCCCACTGCACTATGCATTGTCTGCCAGCTAGAGGCGGGATGGGAATTACCCTCCGTCGGGTGCGGCGTGGGCTGCAGCCGTGTGTTTAACCCCTCGCGGTCCGGCTCTGTGCTCTCCCCAGCCAGCAGAGTGAGCGACAGCAAGCACGGCATGATGAAGTTCCGGGAGGAGAGGAACCTGCTGGGGCTCGGGCTGAGCACGGGCTTCCACGACCGATACTTCATCCTGAACAACAGCTGTCTGAGGCTCTACAAGGAAGTGCGGGTGAGTTGCCTGGGCTGCCACAATCCCCTCCCACCTCCCGTCCCAGCACACCGTCCTTTCCCATGCCTCCTGGCCTGCAGCGCCCCCTACTGACCGAAGCCGGCCTGCGCGAGCATCCTTTTTTCTGGCTCCACATCCCCTCTGTCATCCACTCTGCCTCTCCTTACCAGTAGCTGTAAGATCTCGCTGGGGGGGGGGGGAGGGGACTGTTCCTCGGGGCGACGCTGTGGTCAGTGGCACTCGACTGCAGGCATTTCAGTTGGTTTTGTTTCCAGTGTACGCAGGCGAGGTATTTCCAGCAGCGATGGGGACTGTGTGCAAGGCACTGGTGAGACCTCATCTGGAATCCCACGTGCAGGTCTGGTCACCCATGGTCAAGAGAGAGGAATGTAAAAGGGAACACGTGCAGAGAAGAGCTGTGAGGATGATATGGGAGTGGAGGGCCTGTCTTAGGGGAGGAGACTGGAAGGGCTTGCCTGGTTTAGCCTAGCCAAATACAGGCTGAGTGGGGATCGGATTGCTCTGTAAGTACACCAGGGAGGGAGAAGAGCTATTGAAATGAAAGGATAATGTTGGCCCAGGAACAAATGGGGATGAACTGGGCATGAGTAAATGTAGTCTGGAAGTGAGAAGAAGGTTTCTGACCATCCGAGGAGGGAGGTTTTGGAACAGCTGCCCAGTAGGAGCAGTGGCGCCAACAACCCAGCTAGTTTTAAGATGGAGCTTGTTAAATTTCTGACCGGGATTATATGATAGAGTTGCCTGTGATAGCCGGGACAGGACTCAGTGACCCAGGAGGTCATACCAGGCCTATGTTCCTATGCAGCAAACTGCCTAGTAGGTGTGTGCACCACTTCCCTCTACTGGATGGAATCAGAACTGCTTCACTGTGTGTCATGGGTCCTCTACTGCTAGCAGCTAATGGGGAGTCTCCTTTGGCTCAAGTGCAAAGGGCCTGTGCTTTCGGATTCATTATAACACTTTGGAGGCTTATTTACTTCTCATTCTCAAGTCCCATTTATAGCAGCAGAGATGAAATGAAGAGTAAGCATCTGTTTACACTATGCAGTTTCTGTGAAGACAGCACCAAACTCTGTTATAACCATGTTGTCAAACTGTGTTAGCAGTCCAGTAAGGCCTGGGGACTGTGACATGTCACCATAGCGGGGTCACAATAATACGTCGCATTGCTATAAGGCTTTTCACATGTTGCAGTCCAAGCGCTGTGATCCCCATTTCAAAGATGGGAAAACCGAGGCACAGAGTGATGGTGTGACTTGTCCAAAGCCACACGGTGGGTCCCTGGAAGAATCAGGATTAGAACCCCGGTGTCCTGACAACCAGCTCTAGGCTCACTCCACTCGCTGCTTACAACACAGTTTGGTCCTGCCCTTTTAGTCTCTGGGCCTTCCTGCCCAAATATCACACCCTTTGTGGCCAAGTGCCCAAATCCCCGAACCCCACTGCATGGATCCTTGCAGCTTGTGTGCCCTGCTCCATGGGAAGCGAGACGCAGATCCCCATTGGCTTTACAAGCCTCCTGTTTTGTGGCAGTGGTGGGGCAGAATAGGGGGTTACCCAGAGGGTGGCACTTCACCCCCCAAAACACACACACCTCTCCCCAGTCTGTGGCTGATCCTCTGTGTCTGGTTTAACCCCGATCCTTTATTAAACAGAGCTTGAAGCAGCGGATGCCTGCCGTGGAAAACGTGAGTAGAGAAGTGTGCTGTGTGACAGCTGAGTGGGATGATCTGTGGGCTTTGATTTGCTCTCTTGCCTTACAAGGTTGCCCTGGGTCAAACCCAAATCCGGTCACTAAACACATTCAAGGGTGTGTTTGCGTGAGACACATGAGCACGTGGTTTTCCTTATCCGAAAAAAATGGATTCACACCATCACAAAGGGAAATCATGGGAAAAAATACGGCAGTGTTGTGTAACAATGATACAAAACAGTAGATCCCCTGCTAGTGCCTTGGGCTGTTCCCGTAGAATACCACCGTGGTTTTTTAGGGTGTGATCCGGGCCCCACTGAGTTCAGTGGTCTCTTGTAAGCGATGGAAATGTCTTGCCTGCAGTGTGTGGACACTCCCCCCCCACGCACACCCCTCCACCCTCAGAGCTGTGTTCCCGAAGACACCTGACATGCACTGTAACTAGCGGCTGTAATGAGAGAGTTCAGGTGGGTGTTGCCATGGCGAGGGAAGTTACACCAGCAACCTTAGGGAACGGGCAAAGACAATGGGCTCCATGAAAATCCCCGAAGCAACAGAGCCTGTGAAAGCGGGGTGACTTATTGCCAAAATGAAATCATGCCTAATCTTCCAAGGGTCAGAGCCAAAGTCAGGGCTCTGATGCTGGTCCAGGCATCTATCCTAGGGCAGGATTCGGCCTGACCCTGTTACCAGTGGCCCTTTCCCAAGTTTGCTGAATGTCCCCTGTATCTCTGTTACCACAGTATCTGAGCACCTCACAACACCCCTGGGAGGCAGGGCAGGGCTGTTACCCCTCTTGTGCAGGGGGGAAACTGAGGCACAGAGGCTAAATGACTATGCCCAACGTCACATAGGAAGTTTGTGTATTCAACTTGTCTCCCAAGTCCCAGGTCAGGGCCCTAACACTGCACCATTGAAAGAGGAGGTTTTGACCAGATTGTCACCACCCGGTGATCGAGGGGGCACTACAGCCAGCAAAGCTGCTGCCATTGTGGGCATGATTTTGGACCCCTTGTATGGGCAGGGGTGGCGGAAATATTAAAGTGCCTGTTCCCCTCAATAATTCTTGAGCTTGCCGGGACTGCAAACACTTGTGTAATCCACCCCCAGCGCTCATTTGGCCATCAGGGAAAAGGCATTGTTCCCAAGGTTAACGAGGGAGGTCTGATCGTCCCTCTGAGGAGTGCATCTGGCTGCAGTGCCGTTCTGTGGTAGCAGACATTCCCAGACAGGAGGGTGTGAAAGGATGATGACCAGGAGTTAGACAGTTTTTCACCGCTTGCCTGTCCCGGGGTGGGGGGGACTGAGGGGCAGTGGATAACTGTAGAACCATAGAAATTATGGGTGAAACAAGTCTACTATTAGGTCATTCTGTGCATTTCCTGTCTAGCGCAGGAATGTTCCCCACAATGTGCTCTTCGGGGCTTTGTCCAGTCCCGTGTCAATGTCCTGTGCGATGGGGCTCCCTTGCGGAAGCTATTCTGCCATCGAGCAGACCTCGCCAATGAGCGGGGGGGTTCTGGCATTCAGAGAACGGTTCTGTCCCATCACTCCTAGTTACACACACACACATCAGCCCGAGCAATTCCTCTCCCTTGATCGGACGCTCGCAGGCACTGCTGGGTGATGGGTCAATGCTGATCTTTCCCGCGTGTAATCACACCACGACCCAGGGGCGCTTTTGTAAGTGGCTCAGTGTGAGACCGATGGTTTTGTAATTACAATTCGCCTTTGCTGTGTGTGCTGCCTGCCTGAGACTTGACTGTGTAAACTGCTCCCTTTGGGGCTTGTACATATGAATATAATCGGCCGTATTCATATGGGGCCTAAGCAGAACCAGCCTGGAGACTGAATTGTGCCCCAGCGTATCTCAGAACCAGCCCTAGTAAATAGGAACCATGGGCCCAAGCTGCCAAGTGCTGGACGGTTCGAGAGCCCAGAGATCAGGTCCGGGAGTTTGGTTTGACAAAATTCAGATCCAACCCCAACCTTCCCCAGAGTGGAACAAAACAGACATCAGGTATATGTGCATGCCACACAAGTAGCATTTGTTGTATCGCTGCACTCCTGTGACTCACGGCATGAGCTGACACATAGGTAACACGTCTGTAACATACCATTCCACACCTAGAACGCAGTCCCGCCTTCTGCATAGGCCGATCTGCAATTTCGGTTTGAGCCATTCCAGGCCAGCGTGTCTAGGTCTTGATCCAGGCTTGGTGGTGGGTGTTTGGGGACTGAACAAGGGCCAGATGTACGGGAGGACTGGCCTGGAGGTGAAGGCAGTAACTCCATTCGCACGGAGTGAGGAGCAGGCGAGTGGGGCCGGCTGGCAGAGGGAGACTGAGTCCGTGGGGTGTGGCTGGGGCCCTTCTCCAGCAGCCAGGGTCATGTCTCTCTGTTCCACCCCACCTCTCACCCCTGCTCCTTCCTCTCAGAGGGGCCCTGACACCGCCTGGGAAAACCCGCATTGTGCTGCTCTCGCCTGCGTCCTCCACCCCTCTCTCCTTCAGCCTGCGTCCTTAGAGATGTTTACATGGAAACGGGAGCATTGTGGATTACGGCTCCATCTGCTGCCACTGCCTGGGCCGCGCTGAGGCCCTCGCCTGCTGTTGGACCTCACGGTCTGTAGGCATTGTGGTGATGTCACAGACAGGTTGGGGGCAGGCAGCAGGCGCAGCTGGGCCCGTTCTGTTTGTATGAACATAGCCCCAGCATTAAACACAAGTCTGTGTATGTGCTCGGGAGATCCCAGCCCCAAGCCCAGCTTCAGGCCCTGGCTTCTGGGTCCCAGGCGGAGCAGGAGTGCACATACAGTGGCTTGCGGGGCAGTGTGAACAAGCCCCCAATGCGGGTCAGCCCACCCCCAACCAGCAGTAGGGGTTGCATACACACATCTGAGGACAGGATTTGGTTCAACAAAGTCTGTGAGTGGCAGAGCTCCAACCCTACTCTCTGCACAAGACACACACCCCATGCTCCCATTCCTTCCTGGCATTCACCTTTACACTTCAGAACACAACATAAGGAGCTGCCTCCTGTTCTTTTCTGAGCAAGACCTTGTGTGTCACCCCCACCTCCTCCTCTTTACTCAACGCTTTGATACCCTGAGGCTGGAGCTAATAGGACCCACCTGGTCTGGTTGCTGGGTGAGTCAGGAGAACAGTACTGCACCATCTGCTTGCCCTTGGTGCTCTATTGCAGGCTGGTCTCTAAGAAGGCCTTATATTCATGTCTGTCTGTCCCAGAAGGGTATTTCTGTTGTTGGAGGAAGAAAACCCTTCCTCTTTTTGTGTGTTGCTTTGGCATCATTCAGAGTTCTGCTTACTGGAGCTGAATTCACCAGAATGGACAGTCCCCTGCAATCATAACTGGAAGGCTGATCCAGATTGTATGCGTCCGCACCGTGGCAGAGGGTTCACTGTCGATGTTGGGATGTTTCTCTCTCTGACTCCCTCTTCTCCTTCTGTCTCCCCAGAGCCACAGACCGGAGAAAGAGTGGCCAGTCAAGAATCTGAAAGTCTACCTGGGAATTAAGAAGAAACTTCGCCCTCCATCCTGGTGAGCAATGGGTTGGAGTCTGAACAGCGGCACTTCTCGTGGGTCCTGGGCTCAGTCAGCCCTGCCAACAGGAAGCCATGAGGCCACCATAGCAATGCAATAAGCAAGGTCTAGTAGATAGAGCAGAGGGATGGGGAGCTGGGAGCTCCGGGTTCAACTCCTGGATCTGCCAGCGAATAGCTGGGTGACCTCGGGTGAGTCACTGCTCCACTATGTGCCTCAGTTTCCCCATTTGTGAAGTAGGGATCCAGCTGACTGAGATTGCGAGGCTTCATTCATTAATGTTCTGAGCACTGCGCTTGGTGCAGCATTGCCCCGTGGGTTCAGTACTGCCTCGGAGGAAAGGGCCACTTACTGTAGCATCAGCACTGTCAGACTCCCTTCCAAGTACTGATCTGGCTGGGCCCTGCTTAGCTTGGGAGGTGTGACAACAGCACCGCTAGAGGTGGTCAGGCTGCAGCTGCAGCTTGAGATGCGTCTTGGGAGGTCGGCAGGTGCAGACGTTCTTCCAGTTCGTTATTCCATAGGGCGGCAAGGGAAAACGCAGGAGCTATGAAATAGACCACACGGGCTGTCTGCCAGGGCTGGGGAACGCAAAGCACCAGGGAGGAATGCCCAGAGCACAGCGTGACAATGTGACACTGTTATTCCAGAGGGATTTATTCAGTACATCACACTGGGGTTAAACGGCACAGGTCAGGCAGGCCTGCTGTGGGGGGCTCAGCCCCATGGCTGGGTCTGAACTGGGAGCAATTCGGTCGGGTAAGAGAGGGCAGGGAGTGGGCTGGAGACTTGTGGTTCACCTCCAGCTAGCCCCATTGTTCAGATTCTGGCAGGGCTAGGCTCTTGCCTTGGGGGAGGGGGGGTGTTGGGGTTGGCCCTGGTGCCAGCCCTTACTAAAAATGGGCCTGATCTTGAGAGATGCTGAGAGCCCAGTAACGTTGGGGCCTAAAGATCCTGGTTTTCACGCTGGCACAAAGGCCAGATGGTGCCTCGTGGAGTGCTGTGGAGCTGGCACCTTTGCCAGAGCTCCACTCCTGCCTGGCAGGTTGTGATGTTGATTTGCACATCACCGTCTCACGGGCTGGTTGAGACAGCTGTGCTTGGGGACAACTTGTGGGTTGGACACTGGTGTAAAACTGGGAAGAATCAGGGCTAATGTCTTTTGCTTTACTGGCCTACCCTGCTGTGTGACGTTGCATTGTGCTGTTAAACCTCCCCCACCCCAGATGTGGTTGCATTTAATTGACAGGCAAACTTGGTGATCCATTGGGATCAAATGCACCACAAAACGATGAGAGAGGCTGATTTTATGGCACGTGGCAGCCTTCCACCCTTTGCGGAGAGTCTCTCATTGCCGGAGGATGCCAGCAATAGACTGAAGTGCCACCTGGCCTCTCCAAAAGCAAAGAGCATGGAGGAAAGTGCATGGCGGTGGTGTCAAATCACAACAGTTTGCCACGGTAACGCAGAGAGGCTTGTGGTTGCTGGGATACCAGGTTTGCTCTATTGGGAAAGTTATTAACCTAAAGCTCGTGGAGTTGATTGGGAGAGGAAACCTTGGAATTCAGCGTTCTGTTCTCTTCTCTCCCTGGCAGCTGGGGATTCACGGTGTTCTATGAAAACGAGAAGCATGAAAAGCAACAGTGGTAAGGAGCCGTGGCGGGCCGGGGGGGCTTTGCTGGAGGAGAGCTGTTCATTAAGCGTAGCCAGGCCCAGACCCTGATCTGCTGGAGTTCAGGCAGACAGGGATGGAGGCGGAGCTCATTTCAGAAACAGAACCATGCTCACGTACCAAAGGGGTTCAGGGACTTCCCCGCCGCACGAGACTTGGGGAGGAGGAGTCGTTTCTGCACAGAAATGTCCCTGGCCAGGATCAGTCTGCATGGCCTGGTACAGTTATTATTGAAACAAATTCATCACCAGCCCAGATCTCGCCGTGCCAGGCTGTAGCTACTTAAAACCCCCATCTGTGGGCCCTTGTCACTTGAGCTAAATGAGACTCTATTGACAGGGGGCTCTGACATACAGTCCAGTAATTCTGAGTCCATCCAGGAGAGAGGAGTGGGCTCTCTGTCACCCCCTCCCCCAGCCTGTTCAGCAAAATTTTATTTAAAGGAGACACTATCCATTTCTTCAACCATCTGTCCCTCTAGATCAGTGATTCTCCAACTTTTGCACTGGTGACCCCTTTCACGCAGCAAGCCTCTGAGTGCGACCCTCCCTTAATAAATTAAAAACGCTTTTTATGTATTTAACACCATTATAAATGCTGGAGGCAAAGCGGGGTTTGGCGTGGAGGCTGACAGCTCATGACCCCCCCCCCCCCATGTAATAACCTCACGACCCCCCAAGGGGTCCCGACGCCCAGTTTGAGAACCCTGCTCTAGATTCGCTCTCTCTGGCTCTGCCATCTAGCTGCCGTTGCTGTCTAATTATCTAGAGCTTGGAAGCAACTTTCATCATCCGACACTCCAGATGTTCTCTGGTCACTAATGATGATGTCAGGAATAGATCACTCGACACACAGCTGTATTTCTTAATCTGACAGCCAGGACCCCATCCTGAGAGATGCTGAGAGCCCAGTAACGTTGGGACCTGATCCCAAATGCCTAAAGATCCTGGTTTTCAAGCTGGCACAAAGGCCGGATCAGATTTGTGACTCAACCCAATCTGATCCATCAGGTTCAAACAAATCAGATTCATGAGCCAGAATCAACCTCCCTGCTGCAAATAAACCCAGGCTTGAAAGGAAACCTGAGTGCAGCCTCTCGGGGGAACATCCCCCTGATACATAAGCAGGGAGCACTGCAGGGTCACGGCTCTCTCTAGAGATGGCCCTGCCTCCGGCTACACCAGCAGATCCAACCCCACTGGTCACAAGCGCCAGGGCTGGACCCAGGGCAGCCGGCAGCCCCTGTGCTGTTGGTGCCCTGCGCTGGGCGGGAGCCATCCGGCTGCTGCCTGGAATAGCAGCCACTGAGGCAGCTCTGATTGTGAGCAAGCGAGCCGGCCTGTCGGGCCGGGCGTGTTTCACATCTGCTGTGGGATTTCTGCCACAGGTGGCTTGCAAGTAACTGCATTCCCTATGCTGGACGCAGGCAGGCCGGGTGGGGGGCAGGGGAGGGGCTCGTCTCGCTGCTCACGTCCCCTCCGGCCAGACGCACCCACCCTGACCTCCCCTTTGATCTCCTCCCCAGGTACCTGTGCTGCGATACGCAGATGGAGTTGCGGGAGTGGTTCGCATCCTTCCTCTATGTACAGGTACCACCTGAGCAGCGGGCGGCTCCTCAGCACGCCTTGCCATCCTTCAGGGTGGGAGGGGCCCTTCCGCATGGCTCGGATACACCCCCTGCCACGTGGGGGGCCTGGCGTGGGGGTCTGCCGGCCTCACAGGACAGTCACATTTCACAGCCCACGCAGCCAGGTCACCATCTCCCCCAGCCAGCCCAAGAAGGATGGTCTAGTGGCCAGAAGACTAGCTTGAGGTGTGGGAGAGCAGGGTTCGATTCCTACCCCACCTGGGTGACCCTGGACAACTCACAGCCTTTCCAGGCCTCAGTTGCCCCATCTGTACAATGGGGACATGGGGGTGGGAGAGAATAAACATAGGAGAGGGGCAGCATCGGTCATTGACTGGCTGGTTCAAAGATCCCCTTGAACAGGCTGTAAAGCCTTTGGCCACTAGATTCCCCACTCAGTAGTGAAGTCTCTGATCTCTGTTCAGAGCCGTATGTGAAATGCTTCGGTGGCTCTTAGTCCAGCTCCTTACGGACAAGAGCTGGCGCAGCATTGCAGTGGGCTCTGGTTGCTCTCCAGGATGAGCAGAGGCCAAAGACTGAGTGGAACTTGGGGTCAGAGTTGAGGCACGTTGGCCGGACAGTATGGAGGGCCTCCGGCGCCGCTCTGCGTCTGAACTCGAGAGCACTCAGCAAGGCCCCGTTCACTGGCACACTGAGATCCCAGGCTTGTGCCGCGTCCCTGCCCCCATCTGCTCACTCGCCACGTGTCTGCTCTCCCTCCCCAGAACGGTGGGAACGTGTGGCCCTCCGAATCCTCCAAGGTGCGGGCGTCGCGGACCCAGCAGGACTCCAGGTTGGGTAACATCTCGCTCATCCCTCTGCGGGGCAATGAGAATGAGATGAGGAACAGTGTGGCTGCTTTTGCTGCTGATCCGCTAACTGTGAGTGACAACCAATCGGCGCTGGGTTTCACGGTGCAGGGAGCCGCATCCTGCTGGCTCGTAGCATCACGCCTGCCGGGCGGGTGGGACGGGGACAGGATTCCCACGCGTGAGAGCAGAAGGCGAGAGCTGGGTGGGGTTGGCGAACACCGAGCATCTTCTGCTGTTAGTCTGGCTCCCGATCCTTTTCCGGGCTGGGTCCTAGTCATTGACTCAGAGCAAACAAAGCCAGGAGGGCAGTGCTGGGTAACTGTCCCCAGCAGGCCTCGGGAGCCATTATCCAAAGGTCGGCAGGGAGGTACCTGCAGGCGTGATGCAGCGACAGGGGATGCAGCTCGGCAGATGATTTCTCCTGGTAATTGGGGTCGCTGCTTTGAAATTCCTTCTCCGTTACAAATCAGCTCTCCGTCCCTCTCCTTTCCCTGTCCACACGCACGGGGGACTGCCGGAGAGGCTACTGCAGACGTGATTTGTCTACTGTCTCTTCCACAAACGTGGAAACCTCTCGGATTGGCTTGAGCAACAAGGCCCGACCCAGCAGTCGGCGACTCAGATAAGGACTAGCTGGGCGTGGGCGGTTAGCAAAGAGCTGGTCTTTATCTGATTGCCAACGGACTGCTCCAGGAGGTCCTTATTGCTGTTATAAACCTGACCAGAAGCTTTTCTCCTGGCCCCAGAAAGCAGGACAGCTGGGTCTAAGGAATGCAGCTGGTGGCCAGAGGGAAGCAGCGGTCATCCCGGCCAGCTCCTCCTCCATGGCTTGGGGACTGGGCGATTGGCCGTCTGATGCTTTCCAGCTACCAGCCCAGGTTGGTAGGGACTGAACCTCGTTACTGCTCAGTGGCTTGGTGAGTCTCACGCCAGTTCCTAATGGACCAGTGACTGCGTGGCGAAAAACCACCACTCCAATGGGTGAGGGCCATGACATGAGCCGGTGGGTCTCAGCCCAACGCTAGCAGACAGGCGTTCCTACGCAAACACCGTCTTCACAAGGGGCCACTAGCAGGCCTCTCTGCAGAGAAGCCAGGGACTGAACGGGCCTCTCTAGAGGGGGCAGGTCAGGGCAGGGTCGTGGCACATTGGCCAGGCGCCCGGGGGGGGAGCTTGCCCCACCGCTGCCAGGGCTGTATCTCCGCTATGGGTCAGGAAGGGACCAACACTTCACAGCACTGAATTCACGATGTCCGTGTTTAAATGTCTGTTGGTACAAGCGCCCTTTGCCGGGGAGATCCAGCACCCTGGGCCCTGCCTTCCCTCAGGTTTATAATGACAGCTGCGGTGGGACAGGATCTGCAGCGCAGCTCTGTGCAATGGGATGCATCTGGCTTTTTGCTTGGCAGAGGGGGCGGGGAGAGATGCTCTCCAGCTCCCCACCCGGGGCCACGATCGGACGCTGCTTCGTGTTTGCTTCCCCTCTTCTGCTCTTGCTCGGTTCAAGAGTGTGGGGCTAACCCTACAGCTGGCGGCTGTTTCCCGTCTCTGTTCTTCAGGATGTGGCCACAGGCCGAACTGCGTACAGCGGGTGCAGCACGCAGGGAAAGGGCAGAGGGTGCGGGGGCAGCATTCAGTGCGAGTCCTGGCCAGGCCGCCACCAGCCTCAAGGGTGGGAAGCATAAGGGCCCTGTGGGACTTAGGCAGCCCAGATTCCCCCCCCCCCCCCCCCCGTCAGCATGCAGCATCGCAGGGAAGCCCCTGGGATCTGCAGCTTCTCAGGAGATTCCCCAAATTAACAATCCTCTGCCCTTGTGCACATCAGTGAATTCCCTCACCAAACCCAGGGGAGGTGGGCCGGCATCATTAACCCTATTTGACAGATGGGGAAACCGAGGCACGGAGTGTTTAGGTGACTTTCCCGGGGTGGGGGGCAAGCAAATCCGTGGCAGGAATAAAAGGCATGACTCGGACTCCCATGCTCTAACCACTAAGATAAACTGCCTACGGGTGCAGTATGATTCCTAAAAGGATGGGGCTCCTTGTATAACCCCCCAGCATGCTCAAGAAATCTCTCTGCAGAGTAGCAAGGCTTTGAGGTGCTGAGTACGTTGAACCAGGATCCAGTTGCCTAGAGCTGTTGTCCACTTCCCAAGGATGTTCGGACTCCTCGCGGCAGAGCTGTCAAGGGGCCCGTTGTGCGTTCACTGAGCGCCTGGTGCGTTAAGCAAGGAAGGGCTTGGGCTGGCAGACGGAGAAAGGATTCCGTCTCCTTGCTCTGAACGCCGGGAACGAAAGGACTCGTGAAAGGGGGGCTTGATGGGGCGGCGGGTGGGTCCCGAGGGAAAGTGCTGAGTCTTTGAAGAGTAACTGGTGAGGTGCCGGCAATGTTCTCTCCCCTCCTGTTTCTGGGATGGTTCGGAGATCAACCACAGAGCGCCGGGGCGCCGTATCCGACCACATCCCCCTGGCTGCAAGCCGGGGCTCAGGAGCGCATGGGTAGACAAGTGTGCGTGCTGGCACAGGCAGAGCTGGGCCGCGGCCCCGCCTCCTTCCTGCCCCTCTCGATGTGATTTTGCTTCCCAGCGGGAGCAAGGAGCAGCTGCTCGGGCTGGACAGTGTGTGGATGAGGCATGTTGCATTCCCACCGCTGGGCAAGGGCTGATCCTAACCTGGCCCCTGGACGCTATGGACAGTCTCTCGGTGCACGATGCACTTTCACCGCAAGCCCCTGCCTCCCCATCCGAAGCTGCTCGGACGGATTAGAATCTGTCGTTGGGGTGAGACTGTTCGTCCCCCAGCTGATCTGAGGGGTCAGGATTAGAGGCAGCATCTCATAGAATGATAGAATATCAGGGTTGGAAGGGACCTCAGGAGGTTCTAGTCCAACCCCCTCCTCAAAGCAGGATCAATTCCCAACTAAATCATCCCAGCCAGGGCTTTGTCAAGCCGGGCCTTAAAAACTTCTAAGGAAGGAGACTCCATCACCTCCCTAGGTAACCCATTCCAGTGCTTCACCACCCTCCTAGTGAAATAGTGTTTCCTAATATCCAACCTAGACCTCACCCACTGCAACTTGAGACCATTGCTCCTTGTTCTGTCATCTGCCACCACTGAGAACAGCCGAGCTCCATCCTCTCTGGAACCCCCCCTCAGGTAGTTGAAAGCAGCTATCAAATCCCCCCTCACTCTTCTCTTCTGGAGACTAAACAATCCCAGTTCCCTCAGCCTCTCCTCATAAGTCATGTGCTCCAGACCCCTAATCATTTTTGTTGCCTTCCGCTGGACTCTTTCCAATATTTCCACATCCTTCTTGTAGTGTGGGGCCCAAAACTGGACACAGTACTCCAGATGAGGCCTCACCAATGTCAAATAGAGGGGAATGATCACGTCCCTCGATCTGCTGGCAATGCCCCTACTTATACAGCCCAAAATGCCATTAGCCTTCTTGGCAACAAGAGCACACTGTTGACTCATATCCAGCTTCTCGTCCACTGTGACCCCTAGGTCCTTTTCTGCAGAACTGCTGCCTAGCCATTCGGTCCCTAGTCTGTAGCAGTGCATGGGATTCTTCCGTCCTAAGTGCAGGACTCTGCACTTGTCCTTGTTGAACCTCATCAGGTTTCTTTTGGCCCAATCCTCTAATTTGTCTAATCTTCCCCCTTCCCCTGGTGCTTTTGTGCCAGCCCCCCCGGCAGCAGGTCTGGTTCAGCAGCAATGGGACAGCTCAGCTTGGCTGATGTTTGTACCACGGCTCCAAGCGCTTGCCAGGCTATTCAACCGAGTGCCTCTTTGTTCCTCTGACGCAAAGGTCGCCACGTTTTCTGGCAGCTGCCGCTGCTGGGGTTGTTACTTGTGCAGCTGGGTGGATAATACTGGATTTTCCCATGGATGTGTTTGTGGCTCATCTTGTGGTCACTTCCCTTGGGCGTGCGGGTGAGGCAGGATGGTCATGCGGTTAAGGTGCTGGACAAAGATCTGGGTTCAAGTCCCAGCTCTGCCAAGACTGACCTTGGTCAAGTCACTCCGTGCTCTCGCTCCGCATCTGGCTAAACAGGGATAACAGCTACCATGTAGGGGGGTTGTGTGGTGCTCGGACACTCTGGCCGTCTGGGCTGAAACGTTTGATGGGCGCACAATGCTTGCAGGAAGGGATTTTTAAAGTCACACTTACAAGTCTTTGTGCAGGATGCACGTAGTTTCTCCTCCAATCAATATCACGTGATTATTTTTTTTGGACTAATCCCAAAGCTGCACAGTTCGAGTTTCCAGTATCCCCGCTCGGACTGTGGAATAAAGAAAAGGCGGTTTGAGTGTGAGGCTGTCGCAACGCGTGAGCAGGAAACTGCTAACAATAATTCCCTGAGACTCAGGCCTGGGTTGTAGCGATTCGCTGTTTTGCTCAAGGCAAATAGTGTGTGTCTTTTCCGAGCCAGGGCCTTGGGGCCATGAAGTGTTATCATCGGCTTCCCATGTACCCTGTTTTCTGCAGGAGGCTGGGGCGTCTCCCCAAGCACTTGGGGTTTGCAGCACAGAGCGTGTTACTCCTGGGGAGGGGGGATGCTGGAGAAATTGACATGTCCCCAGACAGACAGGACTACGATCCAGTGGCTCTGGTTCTAAGGGAGCACCCTGGTGAGGTTAATGCCTGCACCATCCCCCGGGGGGGGGGGGTGTGTGAACAGCGCAAGGCGCTTTGTCCAGAATGCGGGTTGTGTGGGGGCGGGAGCAGCCTGGCTAAGGGACAGGTTACCAGCTCCTGCCACTGTGTTTCTATGAGCACATGAGGTGCCGGGTGCCTCTAAGAGGGACAGAGGTGCCCGCAGGGCTGCCCCTGAGGTTCGTGGGTTTGCAGGATTCAGCCAGATCTGGAAATGTCACTGCGCAAGGCCTGGTGCGACGCCATCATCCGTGGTCACGCTGGCTGATGCGGTGGTGCTCAGTAGGCCGTGGTGGTGGAGAGGGTTGAAACCGGCCTGCTGGTCTCAGCAGCTGAGTTCGCCCGGTTCCACCGCTGAGCTCCCGTCTCAGGCGAGTCGTTTAACCTCGGCTCCTGCCCCTGCAGAGTGGGGTGGCACCTGTCCCGCACTCACTGGTGTCTGGGAAGCGCTCTGGCATCCTGGAGTGAAAGATGCTCCAAGAGACCCAGATAGTAGCCACTCTTGGCTCCATAGGGTAGTTCCAAAGTGAAGGTCGTCCCTTTGCCCTCTCCCAGGCAGGCAGCTAATTGATAACAGGTTCCCCTGAGTAGCTACACAGCGGGAGGGGAAACTGAGCCGGAGTTAACCCTTTGTTCCCCAGGGAGCAGCCCTGTCACCTTCATCTAATTACCCACAATTGTTCCGAGCCGAGGCTCTTCCAGCTACTTAGCGCCACCAACGGTCCATGTCGGAGAAGGAAAACTAACCCCTTCCTCCTTATTTTCTCTCCCCAGCTTCTTCGAAACGTATGAGCCGGAGGCCTAACGCATCAGGTAATTTCAAGCATTCCTGCTCGTTTGCGGAGCTCTGTGTCACGGGGTGTGCCGGGGAGATCTTCCCCCAGCTCCCAGGACCCAATGGCAGCTCGATGGCCGGACTTAGCCCAGAGCCACCTTCGTCTTCCGAGCCGAGCTACAGCTCACAGCGACTGCCTGGGCAGATCCCACCCCCTGGCCCGCTCCATCTCCCCCCAAGCGGCCGCTGCTCGGATCAGGAGGTCGCATGACAAGCTGGGATCTGTGTAATAGAGATCGTGGAGTCTCCAGTTTCCGTCTCGATCCCGGCTGCCCCTGGCCTGGCTCTCCGTGGGGTTCAACCCAGGAGGTCTGGATCTAAAAGGCATGTCCCAGTATTGCCTGACCTGTGAGCCGACCGTCAGGGTCAGAGAGCTGCATTGTGCTAGCCTGGGTAACGCCAGCAAGCCGGCTCCTGCACCGTGCACAGGTGTGGAGACGACATCTCCTGCCAGGCTGGCAGTGACAGCCGCTGGTCCTCAGCACGTCTGAAAACCTAGCCGAGTCTATTTGGGGACTTGGGGAGGGTCTCGGGGCCTAACTATGGGCACCCACATTGTAGCCTGCGTGGCTTGCTCAAAATCACTAACCTAGACTCCCAGTCCCCTCCTGAACCCCCACAACGGTGCCAGCCTCCCCTTAACGACGTAGCGGGCCCATCTCCAACGGAGGGGCCGCAGGGCACTGCCCCGGGCCATGCAGGGTGGAGGAAGCAGCCCAGAGAGCGCGAGATGTGAGTGGGGAGGGTTCGCAGGAGCCAGCGGGGCAGGGAAAGCTCCCGGAGGAGCCGTTCGGCTGGCCAGCGAGCTCTCTGCCCGGGAGTCAGCCTGGCGTCTCTCTCTTTGTCCCCAGGTCCGTTTGCGAGAGGGGGGAGGCAGCCTGAGAGCCCAGGAGCGCACAAGTCACGTCACGTTGCCCCTGCTCGCCCAGCGGGGTCTGCGCCGAGACCGGGGGGGCTCTCTGAATGCGTGCCAGCCCCTTGAGCCAATCCTCTTTCTACGGCAAAGCCGACAGCAGCCGCAAAACAATAAGCAACCGTGTTTGACTTAAGGAAAATGAATCCATTGGCAAAGAGCGTGGGACCCCGGAGCTGCTTCTAAAGGGTTAATTATTCAAGCCGACACCGTCTCATCGGTCATCTCGCCGGCTGTCCGTGCCGTGAGCAGCCAAACCCCAGAGACGGGGCAGAGGAAGCTGTGCTGGGATGGGATGGACTGTTCTGGACCCATCGCTTCACCTGGGAGTGTCTTTCTCCCCCATCACCAGCTGCTTCTTGCTTCTTCTTGGGGCCTGAATTAAAACTGGAAGGGCGCAGGCTGGGATGGCCCCTCTCTGGTGCCAGCTGCTGCTCCGGGAGGGGTTAGGGGCTGGGGGCACTCTTGCTTTCTTTAAAATCTCTCTCTCTATTTGAAACCGCAAGCCACGGAAAGGCGGCAAGGGCCGTCCAGGCAGAGACTTTCTCGCGAGGGTGCTTCTGCTGGTGGAAGCATTAAACCTTCCTAAGGAGGAGCGGCGGGCTAACCCCGGCCGTTCTGTATCACTACGTTGGAGAAGGGCTGAAGACGAACCACAGGGGGAGTGGATCGAAGGCTCCCATCTCCGCTGCTGGCCCCTCAGAGCCACACGCCGCTTCTCTCCTTCTCCCAGGCTGCCCGATCCCGTGACCACATGGGCCTTTCGGGCGAAAGCTTCGCAAGCAGGGCCTTAGAGTGGGGAGAGTCCAGCGCCCAGCCATGGGCCTGTGGAGATGGCTGAGTGGAGCCACAGCTGGGACATGTGGCTTGAGGGACCCTGGTGGAAGCAGCAAGAGACTGGGGTGGGGGTTGGGGGGGATGGGACTCTGGACCAACCTGAAGTTGAGCTTGGAGTGGGGCCGTTTGTCCTGGGTGTCTATTGCCTCGTGGTGTATAGGAAACTGCAAACTGTGGCTGCGGGCAGGGAGAGGGGCCAGCGCTGTCCTGTTCAACAGCGTCTTTGGTTATTGTTAATATTAAATGCCTGGGGAAGTCCGTGTGATGGTGTCCCAGTGATTCCGGACTGCAGGGCAAGGTGAGGGGCTGGCAGCTTGAATGCATCAGGCCGATGTCGGGGATGGCCTGTTACCCCCGGGCTGCAAGCTGAGATAAAGGGGCAAAGAACCGTGGTCTTGGGGCTGCAGGCCGAGGTGGGGGAGCTGGGGCGGGGGGGAGGGGGAGGGGCAGTTGCTTCCGCTAGAGGTGAAGATGGAGGAGCATGAGCCCATTGTTTTAGAGCCCCAGGCCAAGACAGAGGAGCAGTGGCCCTCTTCATCGGGACTTTAAGTTGGGACAGAGAGAAAGAGGCCAGCTTCTGTCTCCCTCAGGCCTGGTCTACACTACGACTTTAATTCGGATTTAGCTGCATTAATCCGAATTAATCCTTAACCCGTCCACACAACGGAGCCAGTTAATTCGAATTAAAGGGCACTTAAAATCGATTTCTGTACTCCACCTCGACGAGCGGAGTAGCGCCAAAATCGATTTTGTTAATTCAAATTAGGGTTAGTGTGGCCGCACACCACCGAATTAATGTGGTTAAATTAATGGGGTAGTGTGGCCGCACACCACCGAATTAATGTGGTTAAAAACCGAATTAATGTGCTTAGTGTGGCCGCGCACAATCGAATTTATACAACCTGTTTCCCAAATTCGAATTATCTAAATTCGGATTAATCCCGTAGTGTAGACATACCCTCAGTGTTCAAAAGCGGGTGCTCAGAGAGCTGAGCAATCTGTCGCTAATGCACGTATCAGGCAAGCCAGAGTGTTCTCCAGTTGACTAGCTATATGGGAGAATTCCTCTGTTTAATAGCCTCCCTTTTCTTTCAAAGTCTAGGAGATGCTAGACCAAAAAAAGATGTTAAAAGACTATTATATCTGCATGGCCAAGCACCCAAAAGACAGGAAATGCCAAAAGTAAGGTTATCCAGGCAACCTTAACTCTGCCCCTTGAATGTGTGCATTATAGTATAGTGTTTAATGATGTGATCACATGCCATTTTCTCTGCAAACCCTCTGCCCCATTCCTTGTTTGGTGAATGAGGCAGGGACCACACAGTGAACAGCTGTCTCGTTTGCTGCAAGCCGGGCAGCTTGTGCCCTGAATGAGGCAGGTGCTGCGGGACACCAGTGTGTGATCCTGTAACTAAAGAGTGTATACCCAAGGGGAAGAGTTAAGGTTATGTAGCAATCTGTAATCACGTAACCTTAACATAAGCGTCTTTTTGATATGGAATAGAGTAGTAATATTCTGTCTACATATAGCACCTTTCAGCTGGGGATGGCAGAGCACTTTACAAAGGAGGATAAGGGTAATGTTGCTCTTTCTATCAGGGCAGATGATTAACAGGGAATGAATGCTAGGAGTAACTGAGTCCCCCAGGGGCTGAGAGAGAGAGAGATAAAGAGACCCACTCAGGCCGCAGAGAGACAGGCACCAGAGCCGAAAGCTATTCTGGTTGGAGAAGAAGCTGGAAGCAGCTCACTGCTCCACTTGGTGAAAGATTGAAACCCCTGTTTATGCCTTGTGGGCATAAAATGGACTGAAGTTGGGGCCCCTAGGTGCTGCTTGGGGTTTTACACTCTGTGTCGTATGCGTTGTGGATGGGAAAAGTCCAACTATTGAAGAGAGATGGTCAGGCACCGGATTTTCCATTCTGTAGATCTTTTTTTCCCCTTTCTGTTCCTAAATGGAACAAAACCAAAAAACGTTGACATTTCCCGCAATATGAAATTTCAGGGGGAAAAAAATAGTTTTAGGTCAATTTGAAACATTTCGTTCCGACTTCAACTTTTTCAGTTTGCTACGACGTCATCTAAGATAAAATAAAGAAATGGAAAGTTGTTTCCAAAGGAGATTCAGAGCCGCTGGCCGTTGGGTTTTGGTTTGGTTTTCCTGAAATGAAATTTTGAAATCAACGCGTTTCCGCAAAAGGTTTTGCTTTTGACAAAGCAGCATGGGAAAATGTCCTGTTGGAAAATTCCTGGCCAGGCTACTGTTGGGTCTGTCTCTACTCTTGGGCTGAATCTGGCTGTCCTCCTGTAAGCATGTGCCTGGTCCCTAGCGCCTGCATGGCAATGCTGGAGCCTGTCATGTTGTTTTCAGGCCCTTGTCTTTAACCCGTCACACTCTGAAGAGCCCTAACGTGAGTCTCATTCGCCGACTGCCTCCTCTCCTCTCTGTAAAGAGCCCCCATATGCCCCACCTTCTGGGAGAACCAGCTGGCAGAGAATGACACTCTCCCCTTCTTTCTTCAGCTTAGCCCCTGCTAGGCATGATCACAGTCTGTGAGTATCCACATGGGGAACAAATATTTAATAACAGGCTCAGTCTGGCAGAGAAGGGTCTGACACGATCCAATGGCTGGAAGTTGAAGCTAGACAAATTCAGACTGGAAATGAGGCATAAATGTTTAGCTGAGAGAGTCATTAGCCACTGGAACAAAGGGTCGTGGTGGATTCTCCATCACTGACTATTTTTAAATCAAAACTGGCTGGCTGTCTAAAAGCTCTGCTCTAGGGATTATTGTGGGCAGGTCTCTGTCCTGCGTGACACAGGAGGGCAGACTGGACGATCACATTGGTCCCTTCTGGCCTTGGAAGGTGTGAATCTAGAAGGGGACGTCCATTCCCCGCAGGCCGACAGACCCGCTAAGGCAGGTCAGTAATTCCAGTCAGGGCGGGTGGGACGGAGGTACAGGAGGAGTCAGGGGCAGAGTCAGAATTAGCACTCAGGAGCCTTGCGGCCCGTAGCCCTGTGCACAGACTACTAGCCTCTTCCTAGAAGGGGCTCACAGAATGGTGCTGGCCAAAGCCAAGGCCCTGCCATCCTGTGCAGGGCCGCGGAGACTGCAGGCCCTGGGGCCGCCAAATAGATGACAGGCCGGCTGGCCATATGTGTGTCCTGTCCTACCATGACTGGCAGCTACAACCAGAGAATAAAGGCACCAGTGTTAGGATTCTTCTTCTGTGGTGACTTGTGTGTGATTGGCCCAGATTGCCAGGGGGTGGTCACCCTTTGCACTAATCAGATGTGCTGTTCTGTCTGCAGTGGCTTTCTGTGACCCTTTCACGTCCTACATCCTGTATGTAACATGGTCTCATGGGCAGGGCACTGAAGTAGGATTCAGGTGATGGGGCTTTAAGTCCCTGCCCTGCTATGGACCGGTCACTCCATCCTCCCTGTGCTTCAATCCCCCATCTGTACCCCGGGTAGAGCGCTGCCCTGGCTCCTGATGGGAGGCTAAACACGTGAGCGGCGGAGGTGGTCTCAGAGATTAGGCGAGTGAGAGCTATATAAGTAGATGTCCATGGGAGATGACCTCATGTCATTGCCCCCAGTTGTGCCCTGCCCCTTGGCACACGCAGAGTTAACATCACCAGGTCGGTGAGATTCCTGACCTTGGAGGAGAAGAGCTATTTTTGTTCTTTAAAAGCCAGAGCTATTTTTAAGAGGCAGCCGTCATTCCTTAAGTGAAGACGCCCGCGCTGGTAGCTTCCGCTGCTAATGGAAGAGCTCTCCTGCATGTGGTCTAGGCACCAGGCCCCATTAGTGTCACTCAGCCATTCTTCTTCCATTAGCAGGTGGGAAGGCAGAGCTGGAATTGGTTATGTGTCGGGAACAGCGTGAGCACTGTGTGTTCCACAGAAGATGGAAGGCAAGATTTCACATTTACTTTAGGAAGGAGTCTGAAGAATTACTCCTCCTCTATGGCTTTCCACATAGTTGCCGTCTAACCCCCACCCTCCAAGCCCCCCTTGGCATGGGGGATGGAATGCATGCCCATCTGCTCTAGAACCAATGGAGCTAAAGGAAAATCCCTCTTAGCAGTCAACAGAAGTAGTAGGTCTTTTATCTGCTGTCGGCCTCAGTGGAGCATGTACCCTGAAGGATTTACCTAAGCAAGGCAGCATCTAGAGATACCCGGTGTACGTGTTTAGCTAGTGCAACACAATATATATCGTGGGGAGGTGGTAGCATTAAGGAATTAGACAAGGCTGCTGCCTAGCTGTGATGTACATCCCCGGGATGCAACCTGGAACGGGGGTACCGCTGAGCCCTCTGGCATACCAATCTGGGCTCCCTCTTGCATTGTGAGGCTGTGACAAGCTGCAATCCTCTCCAGGTCTTGCACTTTCACAGCCAGACACAGCTAGGGACACACCCAGCTGCAGTTACATGAATG